CTCCTCCACCAAGCATCACAGCAGTAGCCACCACAAATCGAAGGAAGCAAGCAGGAAGAAGCAGCCCACTTGCTATAAGATGAGTTTGAACCGACATGTGTTGGTGGGCACTACTTCTATTAAAAAGATAGTACAAATGCTAATACAAATACATAGTAAGTGTAGCATTGATCTTCCAAAAAAGGCTGACCAAATGCCAACCCAGGAACAGCATGGGCTAGTCAAAGATATCAAGAGCATTTTGGATTGGGTCGTGTGTATGCAAGTCATTCAATTGGCCCAAAAGGGTGCCCATTCTGAATTTTTACCAAAAGGGCTTGTAGCTGACACCCATCCTAGCTTCATGGACCACCGAGAGGTGCACTAATAATTAATTGAGATTTTAAAGAATTTTGAGAGAGTTTATAAGTTCATGAATTTTGAGGAAGTATGTGACTCTCCAAATGGACGTTGACAGAATTCTATTTGTGGATTTTAATAGAGTTTGTGAGCATTTTATTATGGTTTTAATGAATAAACTTTCATGGAATATGAACTATTTAGTGGTAGTGGGCATTTCCCATAGTTTCACATTTCACTACTCGAAGTAGTGGCGGGCTATCATCTGTGATGTTAGTGGTGATAGTGAAGTGGTGGTGAGTTGCGGTGGCGATGGTGATGGCGTCAAGTGTTTATGGTTGTGGTGGCGTCATGGTGGTGGGGGTGGAGTGGAAGAGGGGTCGTGACAAGATGGTGGAGGAGGCGAAGCTGGCGGTGTTAATTTGCAGCGAAGACATTGTGGTTAGGAGGAAGGTGGTGGATCGTATCCTCATAAGATGGAGAAAAATATCAAAATCTCAAGACGGAGGCTAGATTTGTGATGTTCTAAATAAATTGTAAAGTCTCTTAAAATCTATCAAAATTTGTTGTTGTTTTTTTTTTATATATATATAATTGTTTCAAGCCAGTGACTTTTGAATACAACTTAACTTTCAAATATTCCATAAATCTTGATTGGATACACTCAGATTTTTATAAAATTTTAGAGACTTTTAAAATCATGATTACCCCTAGCTAGACTTTCATTCACTCTTTTAAAATTTTGATTGGATATCCTAAGTTTTTTTTAAGAGAAATTTTCTTTTCGCCAATTTCCCCCTCGTTATGTTTATTCACATTTCATCCATTAAATGTTTGTGTTACTTTTCCTTTACTGAAATGCAATATTTTAAGGAATGTTAGATGAAATGTGGAAAAACATTATTGTACGGGGGGAAATTGGTCAAAATAAAATTTCAAAAGAGAAATCGACAGTACAAGTTCAAGAGAAAATTCGCAAAATACTCTAAAGTCTAAAATACATTTTATAATTTATAACTATGAAATATGATCTAAGTGATCAACAAAATATATATGCTGAATAAATTGCAATTGTTGGCTTTTGATTGACAGGGAATGAATGCTGTGAAAGACTGGCTTACTATGGGATTAACACAAATCTTGTTAATTACCTCAAATTTCAACTGAACCAGAGGAATGTGGTTGCTGTCACTAATGTCACAAATTGGTCAGGTACATGCAATGTCACACCATTTCTTGGAGCCTTCCTAGCTGATGCATACCTAGGAAGATATCGGACAATTGCTGCCTTCTCCATCATCTATGTTTTTGTAAGTTAATTTCTTTGTCAAACGATGGAAAATGTTCTATTTCGGTTTGTTCAACGACATAAGATTTCGCCCAACATTTATTTGACTCGTCGACCCAATTTGACAATAATATAAGCATTTGAAAGACAACATAAGTCGACAAGTGAAACCTTTCACGTCAAACTAAATATTAGAACTCTTGTTGATCTATATGAAATGAAAAGCCATAATTTTTCGCAGGGAATGACATTATTGACCTTGTCAGCGTCTCCAAGGACTAAAACCACTCTGTGACAACATGTGCCATCCCACAGGTTTACATACATGAGTGTTCTTCATGGGGCTTTACCTCTCGTGGCACTTGGAACTGGAAGCATAAATCCTTGTGTCTCATCATTTGGAGCAGACCAATTCGATGACTCCGATGAGGCCGAAAAAAATAACCAAGAGTTCCTTCTTCAACTGGTTTCTATTTCTCAATCAACATTGGTGCCCTTGTGGCTTCTTCTGTGCTTGTTTGGATACAAACAAACGTTGGGTGGAGCTGGGCTTCGGCATCCCAGCCGTGGCTATGGCACTTGCTGTTGTGAGCTTCTTTTCCGGCACTCGGTTGTACAGAAACCAGATTCCCGGTGGGAGTCCCCTCACTCGCATTTGCCAGGTGCTTGTTGCATCCTTCAGGAAGTTCCGAGTTCGAGTGCCTCGTGACAAGTCGCTCTTGTAGTTGTATGAGACTGCCGATGAGGAACCTGCCGTCAAAGGAATCCGAAAGCTTGATCACACTAAGCAGCTAAGGTAATTCTTAAGTTTGTAGCAAAGAAGTACTTTAATATGGTGATTGTGAAACCTAATTTGATATGACGCTTACGTTCTGCTAATTGCTAATAGAAAGGCTCGACATGGTAAAATAGAAAATGTTGTATATGTTTTACTATTGTACAATCAATTACAGTCCAACATGACGAAGGAGGCCATAACAACTTTTTCATTTACGAACTATGTAGTTTCTTGGACAAGGCGGCGGTAGAGACATAATTCGATAAAATCAAAGGCTCAGCGATGCCATGGAGGCTCTGCACCGTGAAACAAGTGGAGGAACTCAAGTCTCTCATAAGGTTAATTGCTTCTCATATGGGCCACCGGCATAATCTTCTCAGCTGTCTACAGTAAAATGGGAACATCGTTTGTGCTCCAAGGCAACACAAATGGACCTCCATGTCAGCAAATCCTTTGAAATTCCACCTTGTTCTCCCTCTTTGACACCGTCAGTGTCATCTTTTGGGTTCCAGTTTACTACCGTGTGAGATTCAAGGACAGAAACAGCGGCTTCACCCAACTCCAAAGAATAGCAGTTGGGCTAGTAATCTCCATTTTTGCCATGCTTGCTGCGGGGACTTTAGAGCTTGTGAGACTCCGTGAAGTTTGAAAACACTACTACTATGACCTAAAGCACGTACCCATGTCGATTTTTTGGCAAGTTCCTCAGTATTTTATTATAGGGTGTGCTGAGGTTTTCACATTTATTGGGCAACTGGAGTTTTTCTATGAGCAGGCTCCTGATGCAATGAGGAGTTTGTGTTCTGCTCTTTCCCTTACAACTGCTGCTTTGGGGAACTATTTGAGTACAATGCTGGTGAACATTGTGACCGATGTGAGCTCTAAGGATGGGAAGCCAAGATGGATTCCAGACAACTTGAATTATGGACACCTTCACTACTTTTTCTGGCTTTTGGCTTTGTTAAGTGTGGTGAATTTAGGGTTTTATCTTTTGGTTGCTAGATGGTACACTTACAAGAGGGCAGTGGTACCTAGTCATTAAGCAGTGACTACTATTATTATTGCATTTTTAAGCATAAAATTTATCTAGCAAGTATCCATTTTGGTAGTGATATATCTTGATCCAAAACTAATAAGATCAAACATCACCTACTTCATGAAGCCTTACTATATTGACTTCCAATGTATTACGAAAAACAATTGCGTAATGATGGTAGCAACAGCGTCCAAGGGCAGAACTAGGAATTTTTTCTCAGCGATGTGCATGTGAGGTCACTACTAGAAATTTGATCAACCGCCATGGTGTTATGAGTCAACCCAGTTTATAATATGCATAATGCTGAGCTTATGGCACTACTTAATAATTAAGCAAATGTTGTAATTTTAGTGAATCAGCAACACCGTGTAGCTGTCACACAAATGAATTTCTCTTTTTACACCATTTTAATTTTTTTTTTCCTTCTAATATATCCATTTAGAAAGTTTGTAAACAAATGAAAGCTGTTGAGGGCATGGCGTGACTTTCTCTCCAGTCAAATTTATGGGATACTTTCACATGACTAGAAAATCTAAACCGTCGGATTTCAATTAGAGTCGGACTGTGATGTCAAAGTAGGATCTCTTTGTTTTCAAGTTTACTAAGAAAATGGAGGTTTCAATTTGTTGGCTCCAGTAAGGAGTCCAGGTACAAAGTTAACCTAAAATGACAATAACATAAGGATTACAAAAATAAGTTCAGGTTTTTACGGTAAAACAAGAACAAAATTTCTAATGAAACTTCCTTACCCATCGATTATTATATACCACAAAGACTCATAAGCACTTATGGAAAATGAGCTTTCACATTGCGATTGAGTCTGGTAAGGATAAAGATCGAAGCATCTTTACCAACCAACCTAATTGATGAGATTTTGCTTCTGCACAATAATGGGTTTCCAGTTAAAGGCGGTATATGCTGATTCAATAACTAGCCCCTTGGGACCGTTTTGGCTTTTAACTGTATATAAGCGGAAATTGACTTCTGCACGCTTCTTTTCTTTCTTTGCACACCATTGTTTATGTCTAACCCTTCGATGAAATAAGCCAAATGAGAATCAAGAGACAAAAATCAACAAATGTGTACAAGGAGAAGAAAAGGTATCATTTCCCTAAGCAATACGCTAGAATTCCATAATGCACAGTCTGTAGGGGTATTATCGTAAAAGGGCCATGCTAATCACAGTTAAAACGGCAGGACCCACTAAGTCGTGTGCTAAACACTAATCAACGGCTATCAATCGTCCACGCCAAAAATTGAAAAGAAAAATAAAAACAAAATCTAATATACACGTACAGTTTTCTTTGCGTGGTTCTTGAATTGTTTGTGAGCAAGAACCGGACTAGGCTTTCCTTTTTTCCTTTCCGTAATCTCCTATTAAAATTCAGTATCCCTAATCACCATTCACCAACCCTCATAAAAATCTACTATTCGAGAGGTATGTGATTTGTCTGCACTTTTCTCCCTCTCTGGTCATTCATGTCAAAGATGCAGATTTCTTTAGACTAGTTCTCAAGTCTTTTTATTTATTTGTTTTTATATATGCGATATAGAAAAAGGGGACAATGGAACTCGAGTGCAGGGTGAATGCTCGTAGCCAACTGAGCAACAAGCCCCCAGCAAGTCTCGAGTCTCATGACTTCTGATTCTTCAACTTGCTTGTGTTGATCTTGCACGCAGTTATACTCTATTTTTCTTGGTTTTTTTTTCTGTATGATATTGGATTGTGGACGTTACCCTTTATATTGAGAAAACCCTAATCTCAACAAGCCCCCAGCAAGTCTCGAGTCTTATGATTTCTGATTCTTCAACTTGCTTGTGTTGATCTTGCACGCAGTTATACTCTATTTTTCTTGGTTTTTTTTCCGTATGATATTGGATTGTGGACGTTACCCTTTTATATTGAGAAAACCCTAATCTCAAAAAGATGGGTTTTGACTCGCATAATGATCAACTTTTGCTTATTTGTGTTCAGTGAATTTCGATTAATTAAAATATGGGTTGCGATTCTTTGATGATTGTAGAGACTCTACTAATATTAGATAGATGCCCCTTCAATTTTGTATGAGAGGTAAAGAAACCTAATTAGCTAGTTTGGGCTTCTGTCCTTGCCATTATCTTTTATTAAGATTTTGTCTCGTTAGGGGACTGTACGAAGCAATTCTCGTGTGATGTATGATTCCAGTTTTATGTGACAGGCTGCTCGAATTGTACTTTAATTATCTAATCTAACGATGTTCCAAAAAAAATAGATAGATGGTTTTTGTATGGTTGGTTATGTGCCATGATGTGATCTGTTTCATGTCCAAGTGTTTGGTGAAGTTCCTGATTTCATATTTTGAGAATGTAGAATTGAGTTGGCCACTGCATTCTTATAGAGAATATTCCAAGTCAATGCTTTCACTTTCAAATTTTCATGATTAACTGTTATCTCAGCATGTATACGATGATGATGGTGACTTTGTAGGTGTCTCTTTGGTTTTGAATATCTAGAAAAAGAAGACCTGGAACTCGAAAGATAGCTAATCTGTAGCTATGGCAGACAGTGATCTTTACACAAACGATGGGACCGTGGACATCCATAAAAAACCGGCTAACAAGAAGAAGACTGGAAATTGGAAGGCATGCCGCTTTATTCTCGGTATGGTTTTATAGGTTACGAATTTGATTTTGATTTTGATTTATTCATGGTATGGCCTAATGTTGATCACTAAATAATACTGTTGCAGGTAATGAATGCTGTGAAAGATTGGCATACTACGGAATGGGTACCAATCTAGTGAACTATCTCGAGAAACGTCTCGGCATGGGAACTGCCAAGGCAGCGACCAGCGTCTCTAATTGGTCAGGGACGTGCTACGCGACACCATTGATAGGAGCCTTCCTGGCTGATGCATACTTGGGAAGATATTGGACAATTGCCATCTTTTCAATCGTTTATGTTCTTGTAAGTTTGGTCCAGATATAAATTGTGTTCTTCAAGAGGCTATATATTGAAGAATTTTATTTTTTATAGGGTATGACTCTCTTGACCCTCACTGCATCTATCAATGGATTAAAACCACATTGCGATAGCTCTGGTTGCAACGCAACAGCATCCCAAAGAGCGGCCTGCTTTGTAGCGCTGTACTTGATTGCAATAGGTACTGGTGGAATCAAGCCATGCGTTTCATCCTTCGGCGCAGATCAATTTGATGAAACTGACGAAACTGAGAGGAAGAAGAAGAGCTCCTTCTTCAACTGGTTTTACATGTCAATCAATGTCGGTGCGCTTATTGCTTCCACGGTTTTGGTCTGGATGCAAATGAATGTAGGATGGAATTGGGGGTTCGGAGTCCCAGCAGTTGCAATGGCGATTGCGGTTGTGTTCTTTTTCTCGGGAAGCAAGTTATATCGTCTTCAGAAACCGGGCGGGAGTCCCCTCACAAGGATTGCTCAGGTGGTTGTTGCATCCATCAGGAAATGCAAAGTGAAAATTCCTGCTAACAAGTCTCTTCTCTATGAGACTGCAGATGAGGAGTGCAACATCCAAGGAAGTCGGAAGCTTGAGCACACCAACAAATTAGGGTAAGAAGCACACGCTGATAGAATTTCAGTAGGAAACATTTTTGCTCATGAGCGATTTTTCTAAAAGAAAGTAGGAAACTTTTCCCAAGAATCTTGAGTGCTTCTTGAACAAACACAGTTTTCATAACCTAGCTAGCAGCAGCAATTTGACCTCATGTCTAACGTTCTCAAAATATTCTTGACTATTACTATTTTAAAAGCACTTTCAAATCCCTTAAGTAGGACCTCATCTGGAAGGACAAAAAGTGTTTGCACATAGTTAAAAGTGCTTCTAACTACAATTTGCATAAATACTTAACAAGTGTTTTTGAATTATAGAAGCGCTTTCTTGAAAAAACCTTTCTTCTTAAAATACTTTCAAGTTCAAGGAGACACTTTGTTTTTTAATAACAATTCAACATATTTCTAATCATACACACTTCTAACCAAACTGGTTTGTTATCGATGTGTTCTCAATAATATAATTGATTTGTTTTTTGTTTGCATTAAAGAATGGACGTTATGTACAAAAAAATAATTTGTATAATAATATAATTCAAATTTCAGGTTCTTTGACAAGGCAGCTGTGGAGTCAGAGACAGACCGTGCAAAGGAACTGCCAAGCCCATGGAGCCTCTGTACAGTGACACAAGTAGAGGAGCTAAAATCCGTCATCAGACTACTCCCAATCTGGGCGTCCGGTATCGTCTTCGCCACCGTCTACGGCCAAATGAGCACAATGTTTGTCCTCCAAGGCAACACCCTAGACCAACACATGGGCCCAAACTTCAAGATCCCATCAGCCTCCCTCTCCGTCTTTGACACGGCCAGCGTCCTCTTCTGGGCACCGATCTACGACAAGCTCCTCGTCCCCCTCGCCAGGCGCTTCACGGGCCACGAACGAGGGTTCACGACGCTGCAACGGATGGGAATCGGCCTAGCACTGTCCATTTTTTCCATGGTTGTTGCTGGGATTTTGGAGGTTGTTAGGCTTGGCACTGTAAGAAAAAATAATTACTACGACCTAGAGTACATTCCCATGTCAATTTTCTGGCAGGTCCCGCAGTATTTCATCATTGGGTGTGCTGAGGTTTTCACCTTCATTGGGCAGATGGAGTTTTTTTACGACCAAGCGCCGGATGCCATGAGAAGCTTGTGCTCTGCACTGTCACTTACCACTGTTGCACTGGGGAATTACCTCAGCACTCTGCTAGTTACTGTGGTAACTAAAGTTACCAAGAAGAATGGGAATCTTGGGTGGATTCCGGATAACCTTAACAGGGGACACCTGGACTATTTTTATTGGCTGTTGGCTGTTCTGAGCGTTATTAATTTCTTGGTGTACCTCTGGATTGCTAAGTGGTTTACGTACAAGAAGGCGACTGGGCGTGCTCAATGATACGCAGGGTGGTGGACTGGCACTTGTGAATCTCTACTTGGTCTGCCATTTTAGTTTTTTTTTTTTTTTTTTTTTTGTCTGATTTTATTGTTTGGTGTTTGAAAATTTTTGTTGGGAGGATTTGCGTGTTGATTTCAAGATTGATTTAATGTATGCTTGTTAGTGTTTTCGTAGTAGTTATTTTTTCACTTCGTGGCAATTAATCATTCGTAGATTGAAATAATTGGTCGAATCCTGCATTTTTATTAATGACTCGTTCATTTATTGATGAAATTGAAACGAGAGATGATAGATCGAATTCTGCATTTTTTTAGGCATACTAACTTACTTCGGATGAGAAAAGTCATGAATTGAGAGAGTAGAAAATAGATCTACAACTGAGATCAGATACTTCGTAAAAGCAACATATATAATTCTTCCTTTCCAAGTATTGCATTGCCGATCGTAGTGTGAGAACTACATATTTCGTGATTTTGTATGTTTCAGTAAACACATAAGAGGTCAGGAATCTAAAGAATTCTAATACCTTTGTGTGAGTAAAGTAGTAAACACGGAAGAAGTCAGAAATGATTTTAATTCTGATACCCCTTGTGTTAGTAAACATAGAAAGGTTTCATCATATACTGATTCTAATACTCATTCCAAGTAAGCAAGCATGACATCGGTTGTCAAACGTTATCCCAAACATTCTTTTCTTCCATTTTTTTTTTTTTTTGTTATACAATAAATCTTGTTAGATTAGATGTTAGATTAGTCACCAATGAGGTTTGAACACACACCGTCATGCAAAGACTCTCCACCACTATGGTAAAGGGCCACTTGCCAAATATTCTTTTTCTTTTCGAGAGGAGAAACAATTCCTTTTTCTTTCTTTTTTCCTTCAATGATTAGGTGATAAATCCCATTCTTTTCTAGACTAATGGATAATGTAACGCCAGATGAGAGGCTCACAAGCACTTTCAACAGTTCTAACTGTCGACATACAAATCTCTCTCTCCTCTCTCTCTCTCTCTCTCTCTCCTCTCCTCTCTCTGCCCTTTATCCAAACTCAAAACCAGGACTGAAACCGGAGAAGATGATTGGCCTCAAGCTCATTCAAACCTCTTTCACCACCACCCAACATACCATTTTATACACAGGAAGATCGTCCAGCGCCAAGACGTCCATCTTGCGCTGCAGCAAGTCCAATGATTCAGACTCCGAGTCGGAAGCTTCCCCGCCCGAAGGCGACACTCGCAAGCAAGAGCTGCTGGTGAGGATAGCAATGCTTCAAGCTCAGAAAGTCCGTCTTGCCGATTACTTGGACGAAAGGTCAGAATATCTTACCAAATTTGGAGAGGAGGTAACCGCCGAGTTTGACAAGATTGGAGAAGATGCCCTCAAAGACCTGGACGCAGCCAGCGACAGGGTCTGTTTTTAAGTTCCTCCTCTATGCACCGCATTAAAGATATAAAAACGCGACTTGCTATGCAATTCTGTTGATAATCCAATTCTTGTTCGTTTGTGATTAGCAGATATTGGAGAATATAAACAGCCGCATGCAAGCCTTTGAGGAATCTGCGGGAGTAAACATAGTGGAGATGGAGAAAAACGAAAACGAGTTAGAAGCATTCGAAGGTCAGATTGAAAAGGAGCGAAATGAAGGGTTATTTTTCAAGAGTCTAACGCAGGGGAAACCGAAAGAAAAAGTGAACGCTGCCGAGGAAATAAATAAGATCAAGGAGCTTACCAAAAACACTGCAGGATCAGAAATCAGGAGGAATATTTACCTTGCACTAATTGGCCTGCTACTCATACAACTCGTCGACTCTTTCATCTCTCCAACACCTGATTGGAGAAAAGTTGCACTTCTCGGGGCGATTTTTGTGGGTTTGGTTTCTCAGGTCATCTATGAGCAGAAAATGTTATCAGAAACAGAAAGTACAGAAGAGGGGAAGACAGAGGAAGAAAGAAGGTGATGCTTGCCATACCCTTAGAAGCAAAAGTATTATGCTGTAAAATTTTCAGCCTCAACTATTTTACATAAACATAGCTTGGGTCTTCACAAATATAACATATTTTTTCCTGATCAACTCAAACGTAAAATTTTGAGCCATGACGAATTTACATGTCTAATTAAAAGTGTAGACTCGAAAAAAATCTGAGAAACTCTAATAGACACATTTCAGAATTTAACTGTCAAAAAGGACGAATGATATCAATGCAGTATCAGCTACAAAAATATAGCATGATCAATAAACCCAAGTAAATCTTACAACTTGGGTTTGATACATCAAGCCTTTGCTTTTGCACCATCAAAAGGTGATCTTGGTGATACTACTGTAATCACCAAAAACTATGTAACCGAGTTACATATATGATGCTTTATGAATCCACTAGTGTATATATGACCTTCTAAATGTTCTTCTACCCACTAGTGTACAACAAATGCATGTTGATCTGAACGGAGTAGCTGCAGAAATTAACATCTGGTGAGGAAGGTACAGATATAAATTCCGTGAAAGCCACGCTTGTGCCAGATAGTGACTTTACAGTATGATTGCATCCAACCTGCATCAGGAGCTCTGCACTGGTACAAATATAGCATGATTAATAACCCCAAGTAAACCTGACACCTTGGGTTTGATACATGAAGCCACTTTGCTCTTGCATCATCAAAAGGTGATCTTGGTGATATTACTGCAATCACCAAAAACTATGGCACTCAGTTATCATATATGATGCTTCATGAACTTTTAACTATTGTAGTTAGTGCTAGACAGGCCTCAAGATTTTTAAATTAAGAAGTAAAGTTTTCAACATGAGCTTCTATATGTTCTTTAACCCACTAGTGTGCATGTAAAATGCATATAGAACCAGAATTGAAAACTGAACAGCAATAGACATGAAACCTGGTGAGCAAGATTTTGGATCCAAATTCTGGAAAACTCAAACTTCTGCCAACTAGAGTCTTGTCCAGGATTCAATACACTTGGGATCCAACCTGCATCAGGCAGATTTTGCACTGAGAATGCAACACACCCAAGAAACAAATGCAGGCAGTGGACAGCTCATTCATACCTTGTGTCACTTCCAAAAGAAAAGCATGTTGTTCATGAAGAATATATCATCCTGCAGATTCCTCATCAGTCATCGGTAGATATCCCAGCATCCACCAACTAGCCCAGCAACATATTTCCACAGGCCGTTTCTTGTGGCACATGGAATTTTGAAGTACGCCCATGCCTAACAAAATTTGACAAGTGAATGAAAGGAAACTATGGAGGCCTCATCTTACAATCCCAGAGTTAGAAGTGGCACCTTACTGAGCACTGCCCTAACAAGTATGTACCATGTAATGGAAGATGGAAGAATTCCAAGATGCAAAGCCTTTTCTAAAAACCTAATGGCATTTGATATTCTACTGCATGAACAAAACCCTTTGAGAGTAACATTATAGGTGATGGTATCTGGTCGTAGTCCATCTTTAAGAAGGTGGGCCTAAACTTCTGATGCCTTCTCACAGTCTCTAATTTTGTAAAAACCCTCCATTAGGGTGTTGTAGGTCACAAGATAAGGAATGCAGTTCCAGCGCCCCATCTGAAAATAAAGCTGCAAAGCATCTTCTGCATTGCCTGCAGAGCAAAGCCCATGAATTACAATGTTATGCATAGTTACATCAGGCTCGAAGCCCTTGTCAAGAGCTTGATGCCACATGTTGAGGGAGCTTGATGCCACATGTTGAGGGCCATGCCAATCTTCTTGCCTTGACAAAGGCCATCCATTAACAAGCTATGCGATCATATCCGGCTTCCATCCTTTTTCCAGCATTTCCCTCACAAACACATATGCGTTACTAAATCTTTCTGCTTTGCATAAACCATTTATGAGAGTATTGTAGGAGAGAACATTTGGAAAGCAAACCTTGGTGCACGTTCCCTGAAAAACAAAATGGCATCCTCAAGTTTGGAAGCTCGGATATACCCGCATATCAATGCATTGCAAACATGAGAACTCAGTTCATAGCCGCACTTATCCATCTTACCAACTAGTCTGGCTGCTTCATCTAGTATCCCTTCCCTGCATAACCCATTAATCATTGACGAATACGCAAAGGCATCCAGATCAGCTCTTGCGTTTTCCGCCTCTTTTAAAATCTGCAAGGCCTTGTTCAAATACCCATTTTTACAGAGTCCATGGACTAAAACTCCATAGGTTGTGGCATCTGCAACACAAGCCTTCTCACACATTAGTCCCCAGACAGAAATCACTTCATCAACCTTCTCATTTTCAAACAAGCCTCTAATCAATGTGTTATAACTCACAACATTACAACAACCACACTTCACCATCACCTCCCACAACTCTTTGGTCTTCCCTGCTATACAAAGCCGATTCAGCATTGCATTATGAACGACCACATCCGGCGATACCCTTTTCTCAACCATCTCTTTATAAACTCTCTTAGCTCCATCCACATTCCCCACTTTGCACAACCCGTGAATCAAAGAACTACAAGTAAAAGGTCGTACCCAGTGCACGAGGCTCCTGCTTTACGCAGGGTCTTGGAGAGGTGAATGTCGAATCAAAGAACTACAAGTAAAAAAAAAAAAATCGGGCCCTCTGTCATTTGTCTTCATCCCACTCCATATCTCCAAACTCTCATTGACCTTCCCGCATTTGCACAGACCATTGACCACAACATTATAAGTAACGACATTAGGATAAACCTCTGAGTCCTTCACCAACCTCTCCCAAATCTCATTAGCACTCACACTATCACCTTTCCGCAAAAACCCGTCAATCAAAATATTATAACTCATCAATCAGGACCAACCCCTCTCTCAAGCTTTTCGTCAAACACGTCCAATGCATCACTCAAGTTTCCACCTTTCGCCAGCCCGTTGATCAAAGCCCCATAACCAAACACATCAGGCTCCAAACCCTTTTCCCACATCCAGTTCAGCAACCCTTTGGCCTTCTCAAAATGCTTCTTCTTGCACGAAATCTTGATCAGAACATTATAAGTCTGCCAATTCGGCTCCAAACCAACTGTTTCGAAATAGGCGAAAAACTTCTCAGCTCGGTCCTGCTGATTGGACTCAATGAATGCATTCAGCAGAGAATTGTACGACCTTACGCCGGGCGCACACCCGAAAATCTCTTCCATCTGTTGAAACACGGCCATAGCTTTATCGGGGGAGTGGTTGTACTTCGGGTGGCGGGTCACTGAGTCGAGCAGTGCGAATGCGGCGTGAGGATTCTTCTCGGCTTTGAGGAGCTTCAGGACTCGCTTCGGGGAGAGAGATTTGGGGAAGTCGACCATGGCAGTGGCAGAGTTGCAAATTTGTGTGGTTGCTATGTCTCATTATACAGCATGTTAACGGAATTCGATGGGCCGGGTAATGGGCCGAATGGTCAAATTCTGATACAAAGTGGCCCAATTTGGTGGATCTACATTTTTTGGATTAATACTTTTTGCGCTAAACCTTGGAGACCTTAGAACCCAACTAATGACCTCCTCCAACGTAGTAGAGAGTAGAGATTGTTGATGCTATGGTTACATTAATAAAAGGCTTTTTGTTTCTTCTTCTTTCCTTTGCACATAAGAAAGGGCTTGTGACATGTTTGCTTACTTGAAAATGAGGAAAGTGATTAATCAGAGAAGTCAATAGACGGGAGAGAATGAATGGTTATGAGATCAACTACCGTCCATCAATCAATCTAATCTCTAGTTATTCAGATGTTGGGTGACAAATTGTAACGTAGGACGTATGAAAGGTCGAGAAGTAGAATATATCCAATACCATTCTAGATAAGTAAACATATCACCAAAGTAGAATTTCTCTCATAGGCGTGGAATGAGCATCAACTTACTTAATCAATTCACTGCCACTCATTTTCATTCAAAAAACAAAAGGCAGACATTCGATGAAGTAAATTAATGCTCATTCATGCGCACGTGCATGATGCGTGAGAGAGAGAATCTGATCATCAAAGTACCAATAAATTTCTAAAGCTTGGATCCATGGAAGCCCAGCCTGCGGAAGCATGTACTAGCCCCTTACAAGCCCAACATAACAAATTAATTGGAAGACTGGAAGAAAATGTGTGTTACTACATTGTTCTAATCCCTAAAGAAATATAGAAAAATTGTGGATCTTTCTTGTGTGAGCTCTTTTTCTTTTAAGCACATCCTTTCCATCCAGTCACAATTTCCTCAGCCTCTCTCTACTTTTACCCCTAAAAAAGATAAAGGGCAAAAAAGCAAAGACCATCTTTTCTTTTTTCCCCATATCCCCTTCACCTTTGAAGGAAAAAATAACATTTCTAGTGATGATTTTCATGCAAATTATATAATAAACTACATTGCAAGTTCTTCTTTTTGTGTAATTTCAAGACTTTGCACACACCCAAGATCTTTGTTTTGGAATATTTGTAAATCCCTAAGAGGTAGTAACATGCCAAACTCTACATTCTTTCTTGGGATTCCTTCACTCTAGAACTTGGATGATCATATGCTTCTTTTCATGGCTATGATAGGAATTCCAATTCCAATTGCCACCATCATATTCATACACCTACCTCATCTAATCTCTACCCTAATTGCCTCAAATTAGCCTCATGATGACCATTTTAGAGAACATTGTTTCGCTGATGAAAGAAAACAGCTGTTGTTGTTAAAACTCTAATCTCAAATAGACACATGTTTAATCGGTGTTTTTAATTTTAATTATTTAAATATGTGTCTATTTATGATTGGTTTTAGCTGCAGCTGCTGCTTTTCTTTCATTGGCAAAATAGTGTTCCATTTCATAGACCACAGAAACAGAAATCTTGATTAAACTTAATTAGGACACATCTGAAAATAAAAGTAAAACGAGTAGTGGAGCGTTTGTTCAAGATCTTTCGGTCGAAAAGATGCCATGTGGAGTGATTAGCGGCACAAACGGGGATTTGATCATGCAAATGTTTTGAGAATAATAGAGTTGTATGAAGTATAAGGTGGGACTTGGGAGGCAGGCAGGCATGTTGGGTCCAAAATGGAGGCTTTGTTTAAAGTGGATAATCATACAACTATATCTGCAATTTATTTACTTTTAAGTAAAAAGGAAAGAGAAATGTTAAGAAGATTCTCAAAAGCGAGACTCTACATGTTAAGGAGGTTCTCTTAAAAGTTGGACTTTTCATGGACTCTCTATTACGTCATGTTATTGGCACAATTTACAAAATGGACATGAAAAATAACGCTAAAATGTGAGATATTAGAGATTTCATGGCGAGTCTCACTTTAAGAAAATCTCCTTAGCAATGGTTTATAAACATTAAACTATAAGGTGACAGAGGGTTCATAAAAAGTCCACTTTGAAATAGCCTGCTTAGCATTTCTCAGGAAAAAAAAATGGAGGAAATCAAAAGCCTGTGATTTGTATGTGGTGTGTGTATGCGTGTGGGGTAAAGGAGAACTCAATTTGATTGTCCTTTTGCATCCATTTTCCCTTTGTAATCATGAGCATACATTTTGCCCTTTTCAATTTCCACAGTTAAAATGTAGCACCGTGACATCTCTTTGATGAACTAGAGTTGGACTCTATCGTTAATGAGGTAAGCACTCGAAGCACTTAGAACTTGAGCAACCTCATATCAAAACGTGCACGAGTCACGAATTTCAATATTATTGTAAAAACAACAATTCAGAAGGAAAGAATCAAGATAGACAATTGGAAAACTCACGTCCGCAATAAATCAAGTATAATATTATTCAATCAGGTACTCTCTGTATTTAAAAAATGTTGGACATTTTCTAAATTTGAAGACTCATTTGACAACTCTATTGGAGCACGAAAATCTTACGTTAAAACTATTTAGGTTTGTTGGACATGGTGAAATAAAACAGCATAATTGGAAATAATGGCTTCAGCGAAATTAGTGGAATCTAAGGGTGCGCATGCATATGTGATTGTGCATATTTTATGTTTGCAATATTTGAGTAGGAGAAAGCTGTATTAATCCGTTTGAGAATGATCAATAATAATGATTCAATAGGAAAGGTTTATGCTTTATTGGAGGGTGTTTCTTAGATGCATATAATGTAAACCAGGCCTATCATTTCCCTTATATATATCCTCAAATAAAATTGATAACTATATAATGAAGTTCAGACATTAACGATTGAATATCAGAATTTATGTTAATACACGAATAGAGTATAGTAGAGTAAGAAAATGCATTATTTCAGTATTGTGTAAACTGTCGTTTGAACCCGTCAACTATTACTCTAGTTGAAATTGACCACTGAACTACTTTTTGGTAAATTAACCCCCTGAACCATTTCAAATTAACTAATTAAGCCCTTGCCATCAGATTCGATGAAATCTCATCCACTTTTCGTCAAATAATGGCACGCGATTCACTCTGAAGGGTAAATTCGTGCCAGTATTTGACGGTAAATTGAATGAAATTTCATCGAATCTAACAGTAAGGTGTTTAATTGGCTAAGTTCAAATAGTTCGAAGATTAATTTAATTAACTTCATTATTACATCATTATCGGTATATACACAGAATTTGGGTCCTCTATATATACTATTCAGTATTTGGTTGTTTTTTATTTAGAAAATGACAAAATAATAAAGATAAGAAGTAGGGAAAGCTCAATCTCACTGCATAAAGCATTAGCATCGCCCATCGGGGAGACAAAACTATTAGTAATCTGACCATATAGAATCTTCAGTTCTTCAAAAACTACAGAAAAACAAACCCTGAAAATTTTGATGCATCCAAATCCAAGCCTACCTTTCGATCTTTGCTCTTGCATGCTCGAACAGTTCTAATCAGATCCTTTCCATGTCATTACATATTGCAGAGAAAATACAAATATATACGATCGAGACAATAGAATGCAACGCAGGCGCTGCTAGGTTTCAGAAAGAACCCTAGCTAGCTAATTACCCTCCAACAAGTGAATGGGTAAATCTGTACACATGCCAAGTTGCAGAGATATAATATTAGCTTAGTGCAATGCGTTATCAACATATCGGATTTGCTAGCCTTGGGAGGATCGTGCAATGATTTCACACTAAACAAAAGGCATGGGTGCACAAAATTATTAGAGGTAAATTATTGTATGATTAACGTAGTAGTGGCAATTTAACTAATATTACATTTGTACCTACACCATCTAATATGATATGGTGTTATTATCTACACACTTCTTTTTACCTTCCACGTATTCTTCTCAATTTTCAGTCGTCGGATCGAACGAATTGAAGAAGATCAAATGACAGAAATTAACAAATGACATATCAAAAGTAAAAATGAGAGTTTAGATAGCATCACCCATATAATATTTGTTTTTTCAACATTATAAGTGATCCAAAGGTCAGTTTTCTCTTTCCCTCATCCCATTAGTAAGAAATATCAATTTTATAATGTGTGTTGATGAACAA